TGTGACATCTGAATTCTCTGCTCTTCTTCAGTCCCCGAGTTCTCTTGGACAAGCCGTTTGAGCCGTCCGTGTCTGGGATGGCGCGGCAGTGCCTGGAAAAAAAACGGCGATCTGAAGGTTAAGCTCTACTTGTTCGATTGTTCAATGCAAGAAGGGTCACTCTGTGTGTGTGTGTGTGCGCGCTTCTGATTGTTTCTCTCTCTCTCTAACTAAATGAATAAGTAAATATACAATATAATATATATATATATATGTGTGTGTGTGTGTTCAACATCAACCATCGCAGGTACAATTGTCCTCAATCCCTCCATGAGCTGGTCCAAAACAGAAGAAGAAATGGATAGAACAAGTGTCGACAGTCTATGCCCTGTCCAGCTGTTGAAAGTTGCCATCTGAGACCGCGAGACCCTCAATGCAGATCAAGATCAAAGACCATCCACCCCCCCCATTCGTAGGACCATTTTCGCGGCTGGTTCCATTTGTTGGCTCAGGGTAGCACCTGAGACCAGGTTCAAAAAAAATGGACGACTGCTTGGAGGTTCCGGGGCAGGGAATGAAATAAGAAGTTCTCAGGGTGATTGTGGAGAAGGATGTCAGTCTAACGTTTCCCAAATACATTGTTGGAGGGGATCAGTCACTTTGCTAGACTAGAATGACCCTCGGCCCAAACATGTGTGAACCCTTCCGCTCTGATGGTCTATAAATCTCAGGATGGCAGTTCCTCCCTGTGGCTCACATTGCGATGTCGGATTTTGACTCATGTCCATCTCCAACACTCTGGAGGATTTGGCCTTGATCATGGCTACCGACTTGCAGTGCTTTAAACATCTTTAAGCAAATCAATACAGCACCCCGAATTGCCATGACCAGGCCTTCTTTGCGGCCGCTCTCCTTGCGCCTTCATGTTTTGCTCTTTTTGGTCTTCTTGCCCTCTTTCCCAGCCTGGCAGTCAGAAACCCCCCCTTCAGGTCCGCGTGATTGCTGAACACTTTTGACCTTGCACCTTGCTCACCCTTCAGGTCCACTCTCGTCTGCAAACGTCACACCTGCTCTTACGACGCCCGAGGAGGGGCCCAGGTGGAGGGCCAGGTAGCTCATCTAACTTCGATGCGACACGGAGGTCGGACCGTCAGTTCACATGGTCGGACCGCAACACGGAAATCCACATGGTCGGACCCCAGTAACACCTGGAAGAGGAGCGGAAGGAACGTGTCGGGCCTCCTGGTCCTTTTCCTTCTTTCGCTTTCCTTTCGGGCGAAGCGTCATTTTAAAGAACATGTCCCATCCATACATGTCTCCTCATCCTAAACTGTGCTTTCCATGAGACCCCAATTTTCCTGATGTCCGTTACCGAACCCTCTAAAGACTCTTGGCTCAATTCTGATTTGGATCATGTCCTCCCAAGAAATGTTCTTGGGCATTGGGTTCAGCAGGAGGTCGCCGGGGATACCAGAACTCCATGTCACTCCTTGAGCCTTATTGAAATCATGGCCTGACTCTTCCTTCTCACGTCCACTCTTGGATGCCTGCGCGCATCGCAGCAGCACTTCCACTCGTGAGGGCAAACAGCAAACACTTCTGCTCAATGTCATTGACACCTCTACATGTTAGGAAGAAGTCAGCTCCCTTACAATAGAATCACTGTCAGGGCCTGAGCCTGGAACCCAAAACCTCCTAGTTAGCTGTGTATATGACTTTGTATAACCTATAGTCGGTTGCTCGGCCAAAATCTCATCCATTCTGATGTAAGGAAGTTTGGCCCCTGGCAACTTGGAACGCAGCCATCACATGAATCACACGACTCCGGGGTGCAGCTCCGGAAAAAAACGCCCACACCATCTAGCGACACCCACACTCCAAGATTTGACAGATCAATAATCAATATAGAGTCTTAGTGTTAGAAGTTACTAGGGTGGAGGCCATCGCTACTAGTAACTGGAAGCTCTTAAGGTGGAGGCCATTGATATATATAGAGAGAGAGATCGTACTAAAGATTGAAAGAAGGACTCCCTTGACCGCAGCGTGCCAGTGCTTCGACCCTTTCTATCTCACCGAGTCCTCTAAATCGAAGGACAGAAAACACTCTGTGCGTTTGTGACCCACTAGGCCCTGGAAGAGGCTATATTCTCAGGTCCTGGAAGAAACATCATGAAACATCTAAGGCACCATCAAGGCTCAACTCCAGGTCCTGGGATTCAGGATCATCTGGGGATGAATCCCATGTTGGCCTTGCTGGGCTTCTCGGACTTGTCTTTCGACTCGTCCTTTGCCTTCGTCTTGGGCCCCCCCTCCTCAGCGGAGGTGATGAAACTGAAGTTGCCTGTGAAATCACACCAAAGGCCAACAATTCAACAAGTTCAAAACTCTGTATATATACATATAATTTATAGATATATGTGCCAAAAGGCTGGAGCCATTCAAGGTACAGTGTATGTTCTGGATGCAAAACGAGCCGCTTTGGATTCCTTCATTTTCTTGGGCTTCCTGCGAGGCACGTTGAGCCAATGGTGGAGGTTCAGCAGCAATGCATATATGTTTCATAGAGGGAGCGAAAGCTGAGCAAGCGTACTGAGCAGCTACCTGGGAAATGGTCGCAAGTCCAGTCGGGGCACAGCACATCTCCTAATCAACACACCTCTGCCAGTTCAGCCAACTTCTGGGAGTTTTTCGGTGTTTTCATCCCGTTTTGAGGTCCTTTTCGGGGCAGGCCTCTTCTCGGCTCACCGGACCGGGCTACAAACCCACCGCCGGTCTCTCCTCGGCTCCGGGCTTCGCTCCGGGCTACCTCAGGTTGACGGGTCACCGGGCGTTTCGGGGCCTTCGCGGCGGTGGTGGGGCCTTGAAGAACCGGACGTCTTGCCCGCTCGGCATCCCGTATTATATATAACTCCAAACCACGAGATCCATTCGAGGTCCTAGAGATAGATCGATTCTTTTGGGGATTCGATCGACCACATGGTGGAGTTCCGAAAAAGCCCGCCCTCCTCGCTCGTCCGACGGCGTTCGCGCAGCTCGGGCGTCAGCGGCGAAACGGCCATCCAGGTGGCTCAAGACTTCCATCATCGGCGGAGCCGTGGGACCTCTGGAGCTCTCCGTGTCGGACGCGGTGGGTTTTCTTTTCGATCCGGAGGGGGGAAAGAAATGGAAAGAAGCGCCCGGGGGGGCGCGGTGGAAAGTGGAATCCTTGGATTCACACCAAGTTCAAGTAATACTTAATTACTTCGCTTTTGGGTGACGACAAGTTCTTTCCGGTCAACACTCCGTGTGAGATTCGAAAGAGGCAAGTGGTGACCCTTCCATGGAACTTGGATTGGCTTTCGGCTCGTGCAGACCAGCCCGTCACTCCCCACGCGTTTCGGGACCGCCTTGGAAGGCGAACTTCCCCTTCTCCGAGCCCAAGGCCACCTGCACGGGCGGGCGGGATCCCCGCGAGCCCTTGCACCATCTTGCACCCACCAAAGGGATGCATTTGGTATTGTCCATGAAGGTCGAGCCGTGAAAACTCGGGCCAAGATCAAGATGCTGAAGCTTCACTCGGGTTTCAAGCTTTTGAATGACGGAGCAAGCCTCGTTGGACTGTGACCATGAACCATGGAAAACTCAATGATAAGCTGTGATCAACATTCATCAACTACCCAACCATCAGCATGTCTGCTCGCCTTGGGGTCCAGGTTCTGCGTCTTTTGAAACCAAGAGCCTTCCGCCCCAAAAGCAGATCGAGGTCGTGGCTTGGGGGGGTAGCGATCCGAAGGAGGCTCCCCGCTTCGGCTCACATGATCCAGACATGTCAAGGCCCACTAAGAGATGCTGAAGGGACACAAACGACCTCTAGGACTCAAAAGCACTTTCGCAAAACGGCAAAGCTGAAGAAGTCCATCCCTTCCAGATATGCATCCCATCCGGTCCCATCCCATCTTTTTAGACCAGAGATCTTCGTCTTCAACCCTTCTGCCAGAGGTCTTCAACTGCAAAGCCATCGAGTCCAGCAGGTTACACGGATATTGATTAGGGAGCTCCACTTGGTGGAAGGAAGGGCACATGAGCTGAGTTTAAATCACAGAAGTGACCTACTGTAACCCCGATGGCAAGTGAAACAAGCAAATAGGTCAAAAAGGTTGCACAAGCCTAGCCAGTGAATAGTAAAAGTTAATATATATATATGATATGGTTTATAAAATTTAAAAAAAAAAAAAAACATGTAACTAACACGTCCCTCAGAAAAGTGGTCTCCACGTCAAACTGGTTACGTTTGTGAATTCTTATCAGTCTCACTGTCCCGGCCAGCCCTTCGATTGGTTGTGGCATGCGGTACTGTATCATTTGAATGTTCGGTTCTTGTAGCTACTAGTAGCCAAGGGCAATACTAGTAGTAGCTCCTCTCTCCTACCAACAAGGGCATTACTGCTACTAGCAAGAAGTTACTAGCAACAAGGGTTTGTGGTATCGTTTGAATGTTCGGTCCTGGTTCCCTTTCCTCTCTACGGTGTCGGTCTTCGGTTGGTCAGGTCGCTCCACCGTTCACACCGGGCCCGAGCCTTCCATCGCCTCGAAGAACGTCTCGTTCTCATCCTACATGGAAGCGCCCACGCGAGACATCTTCGGGTCCGAGTGGGCACGTGGGAACGCCGGTGGAAGGCCAACGTGGCCATGTGGGGTGCTTTTTGGGGGTGTGTCCCTTCGCGTTCTCGTCATGGAAAAGCCTTCAAGTGCTCCTCCGGGCAAGAGCTGCCCGGCGAGAAAAACCACGGATCTGATTGGCGCCGCTCATGGGAGTGTCCAGGCAAACAGCCCGCAGTCCCAATCAACTGGACAAAGGACCTCTCTAGTGTGTTAAGCTAAAGACCATGAATTGCAGCGGGTCTGCTCCAGCACCACACCACACCAAACCAGTGTCTTCTTCAGATTTAGCGCACTGGGCTAAAGTGACTAAAGCTGAATCCGGCCTTGCACTGAGGGCATCCATGGACATCCCCAAATTCTCTGTTCTTGTGGGATGGTTTTCAGAGATTTTGCCCATGCCTGGCCACAAAAAAAAAAGAAAAAACGGCCTCAACGGCTGACACGTCCGGCAGCTTCAAAGGATTAGATTTGCTCAGAATCTGATCGAAGGGCACCTGCATCTCTGTCTTGCCTCAACCGGTGGTGGAATGGATCTTTTTGTTTTTGCATGAGTGGGTTTTCCCAATCTTAAGGGAATAATATGTCAATGGATTGGTTTTAGGCTTGTATCAAGGGAAAATCTACGGGAAACCATGGATTGAATCCCCACAACTACGGGTGTCCTGTAGATGTTCCCTTCAACCGACTCTAGGAATATGTTTAGATGAGTAAAAAAGGGCATAGAAGGCCTTCTACCCCCATGACCTGTCCCCAATCAACAGAAAATTGCATTTCTTCTTACCTCAGCTTGTTGCAACATCCAACCGTCACAGGGAAACTGTGCATTTGAATAGGGAAGCCTGAGTTTCGTCTCACCAAAGGAAGAACATCGACCACACCCACCCGCTGTCTACCTAGATAATAAAACATATTTATAGTACATCTGAAGGTCGCGTGTATTCAGTGTGTTCTTGGCCCACATGTTGTTTGTCTGGGTTCTTGTTCAAAGTTCTCCCTGTTGGTGTTTTTTGGGTATGCTGTCTTCGGAATCGGGGAGGTACTAGAACCTGTGGGTAGCAACTTGGAAGCCAGCGAGGGCACAACTGCTTTTCACATGTCTGGCCACAGCCACTACAAAATATGCTATAGGAAGAAAGCCTTGGAGTCTGGCCATCTCCGCTGCAAGAATTGAGCTGGCACTCCAATTTTCAGCGAGAAAACATCACAAACCACGGTCTGAAAATAACTCACTTTTCACCCTCAAGTGGATACAACGGACAAATAGCAAGCAGAACGTCTTCCCCTTGTCCTCCTAAAGTCGAACCCCTGTCTTCAGGATGACTGCCGCATCCTCATCACAAAAGCCATGTCAGGACTTCCGGTTGGCTTTTGTCTTGAAAAAAGTTGTCGTTTTTTCCTTTTCTGGGTGTTTTATGGGACGAACGTGGTTTTGGTTGAAGCCAGCCCCACCTTGAGCCCATGCCAACACAAAGACCATGCTAACACAGGTGAAGTCGGTGGAGTTTGCTGCGAACAAGTCACCATCTTTGGCGAAGACAATGCACACCTGGCGGCACGAGCACCCGGAGCACACGGTGAGAGGGAAGGGCACCGATGTGTTCGGCGAAGCCGAAGGCACGACCGGAGGGGTGCCAGAAATGTACCAAATGATCCTGTTAAGAGCCTGTAAGCAGACTCCTCGATGTCAAAAAACTGCTCCTGTAAGTAGATCCACACGTGTTACCTGTCAAGTGTCACCTCCTGTGCTCGAGTTTGCCTATAAGAGTAGAGGAAAGTATAGGTGTTCCTTTCGCAATGCAATGCGTCGTGACACCCCCGCAACATGTTTGAAAGGCTCCCGTGAGAGGGCGAGGGTCCCTCGTGCGTCCGCCAAGTGTGAAACCCAACCCAAACCAACTTCTTTTGGGAAAAATCAAGATCGTCTCAGATCATGATAGTGGGTCGAGGCCTGGTTCAGGATTGCGTCAAACTCAACTCCTCCTCCTCCTCCCAACAAAGAATCCCAAAATATATGATTATGCAAACATGATCAAACATGTGCATTGTGCAGTGTTGATGATGCAAACTTTGGGTATGCAGCACAAAATGAATTTGTTCACAAAGGGCGTTATGGTGCCACCCTGACCTCGCTACAATATGCGGATGTTGTTGCGGTCGATGCCGGGGGCGGACAATGTCGACGGCATGCCCAAGCCAACCTGTGAACAAAAGATCTAACCTTCCCTCAACAAAATGTAAGCCATCTGACAGTCAGATGCCGTAAATAAAGCAACCTATATATTTCTTTTTGTTATAGTCACACCCCTCCCAGTCCCATCTCGGTCAATCTGAGTCACTGTTTTTTGTGAGTTGGAGATGCGCTTGACCACCACGTCCATCTCCTTCTTGGAGGACCTTGAGACCTTGACTTGGAGGATGGCGGATGAGCGCGGATGCAACTGGCGCGACCCCACAAACCGTGCTTCATCAGAGTATCAAAAGAACATCCGGCCCAGGAGGAAACCTGATGTTGGAACCTTTCTTCGTCACTTCTCCGGAAAATGCCGTCGAATTGGGATATTCGGGGTGCCCCCAAGTAGAGTTTAGGTGTTCATCAGGGCTCCAAGGAAGAGCCTACAATCTTCGGTGACTTTGGTGGAGTATCATTCAGCTCTCTGGACAGTCGGGGAGAGCAAGCAAAACAATCACGCCGGCAAAGACCCCACATAAGACGCACCAGCAGCACACTGCAGCGGCAAGTGGCGGCACCACTGGCGGCACCCTGTTCAGGCTCCAGCACCCAAGCTCCCAAGCGCGCACACAGCAGTGGCACCCTGCAGTGGCACCTCCACCCAAGCTTCGAAGCACCCAAGCTCGAGAACGCACACGCGCAGCTCTTTAGATAGTGGAACAGCAGCGGCACTCTGCAGCGCCACCACTCGAACACGCACAAATGCAGCTCTTCCTCTACTTGAAGTAAGAACCCCAATAGCTCACGCTATCGAGGGAATAACAAAGTCTCCATGTATTGCTAGATCTGATTGTTGATGTATGCCTCACACATTCCCCAAACCAAGACCAAAACCATCTGATTTGTGCCACCAGTTTTGCGCTGCCACTTCGAACTTAGGTGAACCATACCCGAACATCCTGGAGTGCCGAGGACAGGACATCGAAGGGGGTGGCGTCCGATCAGGGCGACACCGGTCTAAACGGGTCGAAAGAGGTCAACGACATCCAAAGCGACCTCAGCCTCCCGTCAATCACGGTTTGTCTGAAAATGGACAAGGCAGTGGGTCTTTCAACCAGGGACGCGGGTGTTTCCGCACGCTACACCGCACGCAAAGAATGCCGAGCCGCATAAACCAACTTGGCATGGGCCGTAAGCCATTTCGGCAGCGCCATTCCATGGGCACGAGCCGTTGTGCCAATCGCGACCGCTGAGCCCTCAAACAGGATGTAACAATACAAAAGCGTCATGCACGCTCTGTTCTTCCAAACAAATTACACAAGTTCTACTGACCCTGCGCTATGAAGAATTCCTCCAGCAAAAATCCGGACGAATGTCATTCACGAAAGGCAAGTCGCCCCAAAATAGGAATCCATGACCGTTCAAATCTCTGCGACTACGATGTTGGAAGCCCATGGCCTTGTCGTTTGAGGGGTCCAAAGCCTCCCATGACAACGGAAGCTAAGAAGGCCGCCCATTTCAGCCACCAAACAAAAAGGAACTAGATATAGACTCATACAACATCCTTGAGCCAAATATGATGACAAATTGACAAGACAATTCCAACGCCGCCGGTTATGGGTCCCCTAGCCCATAATAGTATATATATATATATGTAGACCCCCAACTAGATAGAAAAGTACATCCCCACTGTAAATGTTCTGGACACTGTTCTATTAGATTTGGGGATCACTCTGTTATATATTTGTTACATTGAGATGTAGCCATGGATGAGGAAACCGGCCTTAGTGTGAACTTACTTAAGTCTGCTGCCTCTCGGCACATGTTGGACACAGCAGACCGGCTCATCGATACCGAAAGATCCGCAATGAAGTCAATCTATATAATCTCTAACAAATGTGGCTCAGAGTCAGAGCCCTCACAGATCCGCAGATCGCTATACCGTTTTGCCAGTCATCCTGGAGAAAACCACAAACTTGCTCTGGTTGAAACAGCTTGGGTGTGACGGTTTTTACTGTGACTGCAAGCTTCCGCAAGGAAGCGGAAGCTTGAATTGAGAAACAAGCGCTTTTCTTCACGCACACATTCTATGGTTTTTCATGCAAACATTCTGTTCAGAACGCATGTTCTGGAGACTGCTACGTGCAGAACACAGGGAACCGAACCATGCGCCGGGTGCACCGTGAGGTTAAATGGTCAGGAGGGTGTCATTCAAAGCCTTCTGAGGGTGTCATTCATGCCACGAACCAGAGGCGTTCTCAGCGACAATTTCAGTGAAAAAGGGCACAAGCTTCTTGAAGTACGCGACATTCTGCAAGCACATGCCTTTCTGTGATGAAAGTTCCGAAGCACGGAAAGCAAATTGGAACAACTTGGACTGGGCTTGGCGTCAACTTGGCAAGCGGCTTCCAAGCCCCCCCCTTAGGCAACCTGGCAGATTTTGCTTACTGGGCTTTGTCGAATGGCTCAAAAAGTTTCCCGGGATGGCACGAAAAAACGTCAACTTGGCTGGAGGCATCCAGATGTTCACTTGTCAGGCCGGTGTATTTCAGTGCCTGTGCAGCATCTAAATCTTTTTGCTCTCCAGCAGGCACGAGTCAGCCGCAATCGGGTGCCCCCATCCACCAATGTTCCATGAATCTAGCAAATTCTGTGGTCCTGTCTCCTGTCTGCCCACAGAATTTCACATTGAAACTTCAGGGATCTTCAGGGTCAAAATCTCTCCAAGAAGTCTCACGTCCAGCCTGTCCAGCCGGACGAAATGCGCAAGGCATCACCATTGTCCACTTCCACCTTCCACCTTCCCTCCTCTCCCCTCCCCTCCGCCCGCCCCGCTCCGAAAGGCTCCACTTTCTCTGACCCCGGGTCACTCGTGCTCCGGCCGTGCTCTGGCCGTGTAGGTGACCTGACGCATTCCGCCCTCCAGCTTTCTGGAAGACACCTCCTTCAGTCGGCTCAGGTCCTGCGCACTGAACAAGGGCACCCCGTCGCCCAGCGTCACGGGAACCTCGCTGACGAGGATCCTGAAGCAATCCGGAACACGCGGATCGCGCGGGCAAGGGGCAGGCGGAATTGGGGGGGAGTCAAGCGCCCATGCGCCCATCACAGTGATGCCACAGTGTTTCAGTGTCATAGGTTTCCCTTGAGTTACAGGAAGAAACCTTGCACCTGGCATGCTCAGCGAATTCTAGCAGTGGGTAAAATGTGGGGTCTCTTTCAATAGATTGTCTGGTATCTTGCGCTCCTGGTAAGGAGCCCAGCGGTGAGGAACTTTCGAATCGTCTGGCCCCCGTCCACATACACGTCCCGGACACCACTCTTGGCCAAGTTGGCTAAGATCTCCTCCCGGACTGGTGAGGAATTGGGTTGGCAATCCAGGGAAGCTCGAGTGGGACGTCGAGATACTTGTGGCACTTCTAGGCATTCTATTTCTTGGGATTTTGCACGTGATCCACGGTGAGAGCTGCTTGCATGTGGCTTCCCACTGCCACAAAGCAGAAATGTGTAAGATTAATTCCCCTTTTCCTGGCTGTCTAGTAGCTGTAGTAGTTGAGCAAGCGGTGCACGCGTAATGTAGAAGCTCTTCCACTACACCTGTTCGTCGCTCCTGTGGAGCGCCCTTGGCCAGCGTAACTTTTCCTCAACGCCACGCGTTCGAAACGCCACGCGTGGAGGGCGGACGGAGGCGCTTAAGGGTTTGACTGAAGTGTTCGTGACCTATCATCCCTTTCCCCTGCCTTAAATATCTTAAATGAAATGCTGCCGCTCAGTCCTTCCTTCCCGCATTCAAAGAAACACTCTGAAAACGCCCGAACGAACGGGCGGCCGAGCCACCTCTCAGGCGCTCGGGCACCACAACGCCTTTCTCCGTGAGCACCGTCACCGGCAAGTCGCCGTAGGGCCAGGGGGCTCCCTGCGCGCGCGGGCGAACTCGGCAGTGGAACCAAGACAAGACCGCGGGAGCTCTCGAAATGCAGTCCGGAAAGGGGAGAAAAAAGGGAACATGGTGAACTGCTTCGCTCCCGGAAGAAAGAATCGTGCCACATCTGCAGTTGAACATAGCGATTGACATCCTGCGAACCCTGAGGGTCTACCAAAACGTCCACCCAGCACCGGAGGATTCTCACAGAAGGGCCAATAGCTCCAGCACGGGTCCGACCCGAAACGGATTCCGAAGCCCGAGCAGGACCATCGGACCGTCCTCCATATCTCGCACCGTCTCAAAGGTCTTCCTTCCCATGACCTCGAGGAGGCGAGGATAAAGCGGCACATGGCCCAGCAGGTGGAGAGTCAACAGCTGCCAAACAGCTCTAGGAAAACAGAAAGACGAACAGCTCTATCCTGGATGGTCTTTCGCCAGTGCGGCAGCTATAGTTGCAACTAGTTGTAAGGACTTTTTGGTGCTCCTCAGGTACCCACATTGGGCCCCCAAAAGGCCTAGTAGAGGCGTGACATCATGTGACATCCAATCAGTAATTAAACAAAATAATATGTCCGGCTTGCGCCTCACAAATAGAAACGTCCAACCGCGCATAGCTCCACCAATCTTCCGCATCCACCAATCCCGCCCGGCTCCCACAGCCCCCGGGCGGCACATGGCCCTGTCGTTGTTCCGCCCAGGGGCGATCGCATCCACCGAGCTCATGAATTCCTCAAAGCCCACCGCGGCGCTGGCTTCCAACGTGGCACTAAAGTCGTTCCTTGGGGACCAACGGGGGCCGGTCCGAAACCGGCCACGGCGGCGATTGGAGACAGCCGATTGGAGACAGCCAGACGCTGGAAAAAAGGACCAGTTCGGCCCCAATGTGGTATGTTTCTCCGTCAATTGGGAGAGTGACATATGGGAGAATCGTTCCCCAATCTTAAGCAACATGTAACATATGCAATAATGATGCTCGACATGCCACAACTACATCACTATATAGACTATATATATATATTTCTCTCTCTCTCTCTCTCTTTCTCTCTCACCATCAGGTTGAGACCTGTCTCAGCGAGGCCACGTCTGATACAACACTGGACCAATCCATTCCACCTATTGAAAAGCACGGTACCCTCTCCAGCCGAGCGCCTTTCCAGAGGGATTCCCCAAAATCACGGGACACCCCACTGGGGACCTCCAAAGCATTAAGGTCTTCGTCTTCGTCTTCCCTTTCCCCAATGTAGGTGACTGCTGGGTACGAGTACCTAACAAGGAGAACCATACCGTATCCTGAAGGCAAACTGCATTTTGGATGTCTTTTTGCCATGGAGTGGAGCATGAAATCAAGTACTGACTTGCTCCCTCACCCTTCCACCTCCACCCAAGCGTCAGCCAGTCCACCGA